GCAAGGTTATGTTGATTTTTTAAGCGTAGCTTGGATGTGGCATAAGGTCGAAAGTATGGGTCACCCAGTAAGGATCGAAATCATTATTCAGTCGTAACTGATTTAACGAGACAAGCTTGCTAACCATTACACCACGTCGATTTGCCCTGGCAACGTTGTGCATGGTTTTAGCAAAACCTTTTATCATATTACGCACAATTGTTTACAGGATTTTGTGCCTGGTTTACGCCTGTCAGACTGGATGTTATAATGGGCATACTGAGCTTTGTATATTTCTACACCAGACACTTCAGGACGTGGACGTATATGGCTTACAACAGCTTCATTGCCCTTATAGCTCTATGCAACTTTTGATTCTTTACCACCGTTCTTTGTCCCTGCCCTGTCACCCATTCACCCAACCCCATAACCATAAGGTAGGTTACACGATGTTTCTCTCTGTTCTTCCCTATCTGTTCCTTGAGTGTTAATTTTTCAAGTTCTCTTTCCTCGTTATGTGGCCCCAATCTTTCAACTGTCACACTCTGATTTTAAATATAAGTGTCCTTCTAGATCCCATTCCCTTGATACTTTCCTCGTTGCTAATATGATCAGTTCATGGTATTCACAGCATTTGTCGGTAGAGCCACATTTTTGCGGCTTTGAGCCTCGTCTTTATTTGTAGAGAAATTGCTCAGTATTCACTGTTGTACGGGTGGATAGGTATGACATAGCAATTTAGCACGCTTTTGGTTTGTAACGAAATTTTCATATTTGAATCGTTTCACCAGACACTTCAGGGACTAAAACTCAGAGTAAACATTAAGAGTAATATGAAAGGATCTAGTCAAAGCAACATAAGGGTTCCTAGAAATAATAACAGTTTAAAAGCAAAGCAAAAATCGTCATAAACAGTCATTTATATGCCATGCGTGATACACGCTTAGGCGATCATGTGTCTTTCGATGCCTGACTGTCGAGGCAGATTTTTTCTTGCAATAGGTTGCCATTTCTTTCTGTGGTAGACCAGTTGCCATCCAAGACTACAGAACCCGGTCTGCCCTGCTATTTACCCAAAGCTAGGAGAGAAGAAAAGGATTCATACGTTTCCCATGGGTATTAATACGTAAGTGAATGTAATGTATCTGAATGGAATTTGAACTCGGCTCTCCGATTTCTAAATCCGAGCAGCTATCCATTACTCCACCGTGAAAACAGATTTTCTGAATGACAGATAAATCAGCAAATAGCAAATGTTAGAGCATCTGCCTTGAACTTTTAGAGCCTAGCGGAACTTATTTTAAGATAATTTTATACCAGACGAGCTTTTACATTGTGTTAAAATACAATTAATGCTTCTGTGGCATTAAAAGTATGTTATATCTCTGGATCATATTAAAGATATAGAGTTGTTGGTTATGGAATTTTTTATCCCTTTTAATTCCATTCCAACTAACTGCATATATTTCAATTATCAATTTTATAAGGCCGTGCTATCAGGATTTTTACTGATAAAATTCCAGAGCTCCAATTTTGAACCTAAATTTAATCTTTAAACTTATTACCTCCCAAGGCGGTAATGATTTGGGTAAAAAAATTGTTTAATCATTTATCATGTCAAAGCCCAACTTTCAAACTGAATACCACAGTTTCAAAATCGACCTTTCCTATTGAAACAATGGACATTAAAGGGTTAACACTATAGTTAAAACCTTTGTCTAGAGTTGAGCTTACCAAACTCGTTTGTCTTTACGCGTTAGTGCGGTTAATGACCCTATATATTCCAGTATAATGCGAGATTTTACGATATATTTTTACTCAAAAAGTAGGGGTTCGCTCTATACCTAGGTAATTATTGAAGAAGTTAAAATCATTCATTTTGGTAACCGGTTGCACTATTCACAGATAATTTTTACTCGTGGGGTTAAAATGTATGCATTTTCAGTGACTGTAACCTACCTGGTAGGCCTACATTCTCACGGTTTGTTTGGTTAACCTAACAGGATAAAATACCAAACTAATTTTAATTCTGCTACCTTTATTTACAGTATATAGTAATATTGCCAACAAAATTGAGGATCATTATAAAAGCAGACCCCACTATTCAGATATAAATTAGACACAAACTATTATGGTACAGGAAGAAATTATTTACGATGCAATAAAGAAAACTGCTTTTACTGAACATTTATTAACTATAGAAGAATAAATTATTTATGATACAAAAAGATCGTTGACATTCAATGAAGACCATTCATTTGCCATAAAATATGTTGTGGGTAACGCCCAGTACTGCAAGATTTGACTACGGTAGGCGTACTAGTATTGCTCAGAATCTGGGGTCACATTATATATGAACTATATGCAAAAATCAGGTTTTTCACAAAAAATTCAAAGGTCACACTATAAATGAAGTAGACTTATACACGAGTATATACGGGATTCATTCTTTCTTTCTTTCACTGAATTATTTATTTTTAGATACAGTTTGAATTATATATTAGGTTGAGTGAAAAATAATTTCTGTACTTGTTTGTCAGCTTTATTTTTTTATTTTTATTTTTTTTAATCATTTCACCCCAAGCAAGGCGAGAATGCCACGAGTACGCAGGGTGTTACAGGGAGTGAAAGTGAGAGAGAAGATTGAGTATAGGGAGGACTGAGGAAAGGACAACAAATGAACGGAATTCAAGAAGACAGAAGATTGCGATTGATGTTGCATTTAAATTTTTGGAGATTGTATTTATCAGAGAAGCAAGTAAACGGAAGGGAGTTCCACAAGTGGGAAGTGAGAGAAAAGAAAATGTTGGAGTAGAATTGACGTTTGCATTTAGATATTTTAACAGTAAAAGGCTCGGACCTAGATACTAGTAGCACACTTAATTGAATGTATTCGAGATATCAGGGAAAAAACT